GAAAACTGAAGTACCCATTTGTTGCACCATCACTATAAACACTTGGAAGAAATGCACTTAATAGGCTGACCAGAACCACTAGAAATAACATGATCCAACTGTTAGTAAAAAAATAAAGAAATAAAGTTTTGTATTTCTCACGTATATTAATTTCAGGAAATAGGTTAGAAATGGGACACAAGTTCTGAATTTGTTTGGTAATTTGCTATTATTATTTTATTTATTTACTTATTTATCTATTTATCTACTTACTTACTTTTCGTAATTTGTGTAACTGTGGCGAAAATACATTAAACTAACCTAAACTAAAGAAGCTAGGAGTGTAAGGTGACTATATACCTTTTCTGAGAAAGCAAACCCCCTACCAACCCCCCCCCCCCCCCCCCCCCCCCCCCCCCCCTCCCCTTCCTGCTTCCCCAAAGCTGATATCTCTGTCAAGTAGTAATTGTGAGGCCATGTTAGGGGTAAATTTCCAGCCTTCCCTATTTTAGTGGGTAGCACTTAACAGCCAGTGGGTAACAAACTTGTGGCCATTTGAAAAGTGACATGGCCTTGTAATGGCGACATAAGAGCCACCAATTAGTAAAGAACTTTGATGATTTACCAACAGCCAAAGGCCCTGTTTAGGTGTAAATTTCAAAAAGGGACTACACAAAAACATTCCTCGATTGTGACTTAAGCAGTTGTGAAAATCAGACAAAAGAGATGGGTATCCCCCCCCAATAGAGCCTCAATAGTATACATTGTATGTATACATAACTGTATCTTATCTCTTGAGACAGGCAATAGCTTTTTTTCAAATACTATAAGCCATGCAAAGCACAGAATTTAATGAAAAAAAATGTTAAAGGCTTTAGATGGAATTTTCATCTCGATTTTAAAGTCATTAAATAGGGATTAGAATTCAAGTTAGGAAAAAGGTCTAAATTTGACAACTATAAATTGTTGACATATGAAACACTTAGCAACGAATATTTCGTGTACCCAAGGAAATATATCACTTGTTTTGAATTCTAAGGTAGAACCGAGTAGAAAAATTAATAAAGTAAAGCCGAATTTACGAGAAGAAAGAATTCAGCTAAAAAAGAAAACTGCTCTTTTTACTGGGATACCTATGATATCACTTCGAGACGTCACGAAATACTTTATCAGTATTTTTGGAAGCACAACCAACTAAATACTTCATGCATGGTGTTTTTGAAACCAGGTCCTCCTTTCCCTCCTTCCAGTTATCCCAGTGTACCCTGCTCACAGGGTCTAGTTACCAGAGTGATCATGACATTTTTATAAAAATCATTTGACTTCAAATTAATTAATGAAAATCTTAATGTAGTGCGGGGGAATATATAGTTCGTGGCTAAATAAGCCCTCAAAGAATTATTTAACTAAATACCCATCTACTTTGCTTCTTATACATAACGATTCAAACGCAAAAAGTACAAAAACATTAAAGTGCCTATGACACTTATTTTATATTTATTTTATTTTAAAACTATAAGTCATTTACACTGATGTAACTTGCGAACAGCTGAGATCAAACCAAGTCAAACACTCATTCATTACCCAAAAACACAAGATTATATTAAGAGTATGATAAATAATTTTGCATGTCTTTAAATCAAAACCGAGAGCTGCAGAAAAGCGAACAGGTTCGAGCAATTTTGACAGTTTGCCGATATCTATGGACGCTATAGTTGACTACGGCATGAAACATGAGAATACTGTAATTCCTAACCACACTTCAAGAAATACCAAACGTATTACTTACCAACAAATGAAATTCCCATAGTTACCGTCTATGGACTTTAAACTTCAAGTAACATAGCTGAAAATTAGAAAAATTCCGGGTTAAAAAGCGAGAGTTTTTGTATAAATGAAGTCTGAAGCCGTCGGTGTTCGATAGGCTAATAATGATATATATTATATATATATTGATGGAAAGTGAGTGGATTATGTATATATATTTATCACATAATTATCCATAAAATACCTATATTTCTCCTTTTCGAAAAACTGATATTTTCACATGTGAAAATAACATGTTATTTTCACATGTGAAAATATCGTTTCCATGTGTATTTAAGCTATTAGTTTATAAATAAAAACTTTTTATGATAATAAAAAGCTTGTTAAGTTGATTTTATGGATAATTATATAATACATAGAATATTACGTGGGCGCTTGGAGATACACAATTTTTCTTCTCGTGTTGAAAATCTCTCAATCGTTAACTGCGCTCACTCGTGAGAGATCTTTTCAACACTCCAAGATATATAAATTTCGCATCTCCACGCGCCCATGTAATATCCTCTATAACAAAATCTAAGAATATCGGCCCTAAAAAGCAAAGTTTCCTTTCCAATTCCCCTAGACGAGATAAATAGTTCTATTCAAATTTTCGATTCGCAGGTATAAACATTGATAATTAGCCGTAAATCAAACTCGTTGAAGGTTGGTCACAGTCAACGTTTCTTCTAAGTTTTCAAAGTTCAATTGAGGCACTGAGCCACGGCTTGAATTGTAAAGCCGTGAAGCATTACGCATTCAAAATACTTACCAAAATATCCTTATATCAAAATTAGAATATCAAACGGGGTCAAGCTTCTTTAGACATACTTGTGTTTTAAATTTTCTTTTTCTGTTAGATATTTGAACCTAAATACTCTGGGACTACAGAAAAATGCAGGAGGTAGCATGGTCGAGTGGTCATAGCGTCGGTCTTGCAATCCGGTGGTACTGAGTTGGAGTCCCGCTGTGGCCACTACCTGAGACTGTATTTGTCTTGGTTTCTGATTTGGTTCAAATTCAGTTTCGTGACTATGCAGTATATATTTATAATATATCAGTTTGTCGATAGTTACCTATCTTTGCATACAGCAACATTGTAATGCAAAAATCTAAAAATCAAACGACACTTACCTGTAAGTGGAAGTTTGATGGTAGAGTACAAACACTAAAAGTGTGCAACACTTTGCACTATTTAGTATAGTGCTAATTAAACAATAGAAAACAATAGGATTAGCATAATTTAGTTGCACACTTATAGCGTTTGTACTCTAATTCTACCGATATGTAAGTGACTTACAGGTAAGTGTCGTTTCTCTTTTAAATTTTACCTCTTTTTGTGAATGTATATACGATATTCATTATTTAACTT